GAAGGGAGGGGAAGGGAGGGGAAGGGAGGGGAAGGGAGGGGCGGGGAGAGGAAAAATGTAAAGCAAAGCTCTCCCACAGGCCACTGAACCTGGAGGGCACAGCTGTGGTCTGGAGCCAGCTGTGCTGGCAGGCACCATGCAGCTCTCTGGTGCCCAGCAGCTTACTGTGAGCCAACCTTCACCTCTACTGCAGGGCCTCCCCATGGCAAAGGGATGTGGGGCTGAGGAGGGACAGCACAGGCAGAAGCCACCAATACCCTGTTCAGGAAGCACACAGCCAGTACTCTCCTATAATTCCAGCTCTCGAGAGGCTGAGGCAGCAGGACTTGATGTTCAAGCCCTGCCTAGGCCATTTAGGAACTTAGCAGGATCATCTCAAAAATTTAAAAAAGCCACAGTGGGAGGCCTGGGACTGTAGTCGGCACAATCCCAGGTACTGGGAAAAGACCAAAGTAGCAATAACACAAGCATGTGGGTGGTCAGCACCAGCAGCCCAGGCCTAGACAGCCCCCACCCCGTTCTGTGGAGGTGGCGATAGCTCTGTGTAGACAGATGGCCGGGGCAGCACCAGGTGCTGCAAGGGGCAGCAAGGAGAACTCTGGCCAACAACACCGTGTTCTCAACCCTGCAGGAGTGCACAGGTGCTTCCGTGTAGGACCCTGTGTGATGCACACAGACCTGCGTGTGTGACGTGTCTCACAGCAACTATGCCTGGTAGACACACGCGGATGCTCTCTACAGAATGGAAGTTAAGACCAAGCTGTGCATGGCTGGTGACACACTGCTTTCATTACCAGGACATGGCATGCACTCTCACTCCCTTTGTAACAGCTCTGCAGCCACTGGTCATATTCATTAAGTCCAGCCTGCACCAATCTCTGGGTCACAACGTCCCCTTGCTATGTTCCTGAGTTGTGTCCTCTCGCTGGGTTTTACTCGGCAACCCTTTGGTTAGCAGAGAAGCTGAGTACATGTTCAGAGAAACAAGTATCAATTTTGCTTTCATGAGCTTTTCACAGTTGTTCTTTGTACAAGTATACAAATGGTTTTGTTGACTGACTTGTTTTTATTGATTAGAATATTAACTCTTTAACTGTTCTTTATTTTACTGACCTAAAAAAGCTACCAGGTGAATTTTCCTTCTTAGGTACTGAAGTTCAATGATAATTTAAAAATTATGTTACCACACTTGATGAGGCACAGTGTAAAGTGTTGTCTTAAGGAAGTGCGTACCTCCTTAAACTCCGCCTTCAAAACGGCGTGGCCCAGTGTTGTCTGCCACTGGAGCTTCCGGCCGCTGTGCTTGCCCAGGTAGAAGGTCTTGAACACCTCCTGCAGCCTGACCATCTGGGGGGCCAAGGTGGAACACAGTCAGCATGCAGAGTGACAACTCGGCTCGGGGCCTCAGGTTTTCACAGCTGAATTAAAACCACGTCCCTGTGTTCTCATGACTCTTTCCTGGCTTCACCACCTGTGGAAGCACACCTTGGCCTGGCTCTTGGGGCTTCCCTGTCACGTACAGAGGCCACAAAGAATCCACAGTTGACTGTACCTGTGCCAGCTTATCTTTCCTTCCCTGGCCCCTAACAGTGCTGGGGACCCTCCTCACCCATGCAGCAGGTGACAGCCAGACCCTGCCCACACTGGGACGGAGCTGCTGTCACACACTGACACCCAAATGGGCTGTGCCAGGGGCTGCCGGCAGCCTTCTGGCCCAGGTCTGTTAGAAAGCCAGGGTGCCTATCTCTGGGGAGTCCTCATGACCTTGGCCACAGGGCCCTGACTCCATGCAGGCCCTTGGCTTTGGTTTTGCCAGGCTCTAGAACTACAGGAAATCAATGCCTTTTCTCTATGAATACCTGGTCTGAGGTATTCTGCTATGGAACAGAAAGTAGACTAAGTGTTATCAAGAAAGTGATACACAATGGAGTACTACTCAGCCATAAGAAAGAATGAAATTGTGTCATCTACAAGAAAATGGATGAACTTGAGACCATAACTGCAACTGAAGTAAGTGAGACACAGGAAAAAAACATCCAATGTTACTCTTCTATGATAAACCTAAGACACAAATAGAAGTTAAAGGGGAGATGAGAGGAAACAAAGCCAAAGACTTGGAGGCAACAGGAAAGGGACTGAACACTGTCATGACACGTCATAAACACATGCCAGCTCCACAAAACAAGCGCAGCTGTTACACACTGCAAACATGCACTGAGACAAGGCAGATCAAATGCTTGTAAAGCACATCTCCGACAAGGTCGAGCGTCCAGGATAATAAAGAGCTCTTACGAGTGAATAACACACAACTGAAGTAAATACTGGACAAAGGATTCCAGTAAACATCCAAGAAAATACACAAATGGCCAACAAGGACACAGACAAGCAGCATCACTTGTCACCACGGAAACGCGTGTCAAGCCTGTGTGAGACACACCACTGCACACGCCTGCAGATGACAATGCTAAGAGACAATGAGTGTCGGAAGAGGGGAGACCATGGAGCTGACGGGAACATAAAGGGTCAGTGACCCTGGGGACAGTCTGGCAATGCACAGTACGGGAGGCACGAAGCTTTCCCACCCGGCAATTCGGCCCCTAGGTACCTTCCCAGAGGTGACCACAGGTGTTCAAGTAGCCATGTGCACCCACCTGCATGAGTGCTGTTCTGGCTGTGTCTAGATGTCCCCCCAAGCCTCCTGTGGTCACAGGTGGGGCTTTTCGGAAGTGGCTGGGTCTAGAGTGTGTGATGCCGGGATCACAGACGTGATGCTGGGACTGATTCATGGTGTGATGCAGGGATGAAGGGTGGAGTGCTACCTGCCATAAGGTCAGGTAGCCTGGGCAAGATAGAAGGGACAGAAAGAGCTGTGGCCATAGCTTATTGTTAGTCACTTTTGCTGTCTTCTGCCTGCAGTGGACTGTTTCTCCTCTGCTACGCCACCCTGCCTTGGAGCCAGCCGACTACGGACTGAAACTTCTAGGAACTGTAACCCAAATACACCTTTCCTTCCTTATCTTGTGGGTGTTGGGTATTCTGTCTCAGCGATGAGAAAAGTAACAAAGACGGTGCATTGTTCCTAATAACCCAAAGGAAGGCCTCTTTCTCAATAATGAAATGCAGTCTACGCAGACAATGCCAAAAAAGCATGTGGCACTCACACACGCTGCAACACAGAGACGGCAAGGACGCAGGCACGAAGCCACATCCTGTGACCTATGTGAACATTTAGTGTAGGGAAATCTAGAGATGGGGGCAGGGCTGTGGCTGCAAGGCCTGCCACGCACAGGTCTCCATTTGGAGTGAGGAATCAGAGGTGGCAGCTGTGGGGCACGGTGAACACGCTTAATGCCACTTTCAAGATAGGAAATCTTTATGCACTTCTAAGATGGAAAACCACATGTTAAGGTGTATTTTACCAGAAGGAAGGGAAAAGAAAAAAAATGATGAGAAAAGAAGGAAAAAAATTGAAACAAAGGCTTTGCAAATAAATAAGGGAGAGGGGATGAAGGGAGGGTAGGGAAATGGGGGAAAAAAAGAACCAAGTTATACTATGCACAGGTACAAATTTCCTATAATGAATGTGATCATTATGTATACCTAAAAGGTACCAATAAACTTAATAAAAAAAACCTAGTATGGCAAAGCTCCAACATCTCCAGGACCACAAAAGGCACAGGGTGATGAGGATGCGTCATGACAGGAGCCACCTCAGGAGTCCCCAGCTAGACTGGGGACTCTGTGAACACCAGTCAGTGAATAACTGAGTGAATAACCGGGAGTCCATGCACTGAGACAGAGGGGGACAGGTGAGGAAACGAACAGGGCTGAGTACAAGGCTCTTCCTTGGAGCAGAACTGGAAAACCAACCCCACTCATCCAGGTGACCCTGGATGCAGGTAAGAGACTCTCAAGGAGCTGACAGATGAGGAAGAGATGTGGACACAGTCTGGCCCTACTGGCCCACAAATTGCTTCCTAGTTACACAGGGACATACACTGATGATGCAAGGAGAATCGGCCCAAGACTTTAACCACATGATTGCTTCCAGCCACCAAGCAGTTGTGTCCCTCCTGGTCCTCGCCTGGGCATCAAGCCCTCCAGGAGACAGAGAAGTGGTACCCAGCTGTGTGCTCGTAAGGCTTTGCTGGGCACCAGAAAAACACTCCCAAGACACTTCTGAGACAGCTGGCAGAACCGGGATACAGACGCCACATTCGCATGAGCTCCCTGTTCTGACAAGTTATTTTAGTGGGCGTGAGGGACCAGGACTTGGCTTCCCACCATAGACCCCATTCCCCGACACCTCTGTGCTACCTGTAGCAGAAGCCAAGGTCCTGTAACCAGCGCCCACTCCTGAAATGGCTCCCATGGGGAACAGGGGAAAGGGACGCCCAGGGCTCACCTCGGGGGGCAGATGCACCTCCATGGGTGTGTACGTGGGCCAGTAGCCCATGGTGAGGATGTTTACTGTGAGGTCGATGGGGCCCGGGGCACTCTGGTTCTGCATGTGCTGAGGATAGACAGGGAAACCCAAGACAAAACAGTTACCTTAAAAACATGAGAAATAATGTGCAGGAAACTTTAATTTTCAAATAGTTTCAACAAGCACTAGCACCACATCAAATTCTGTGTTGCTGTATCATTGATTACGCCACCCATGTGACACATACTCCAGGCTCAGGCTGTTTCACCCGAAACCAGCTGCTCCTCCCTACTTTTCCTTGGTGGCACTGGGGATGGAAACTAGGACACTGTGCATGCCAGGCAAGTGTTCTAACACCGAGTTACATCCCAAGCCTTTCCAACTCTGCTTTGAGATTGGGTCTGGATGAGGGGCTCAGGCTGGCCTTGAACTTGTGACCCTCCTACTTCAACCTTCTGAGCAGGTAGGAGCACAGCCGTTCTTCGCCCTGGCTCCACTCACCTGCTTGAAGTGCACCATGATGTCCTTGGAAAGCTCCATGTCCTTGAACATGCCCTCCAGCTTACTGGTGAAGGCGGCCCCACACTCTGTGACACGTGAAGGGTCAAGTCAGAAGGCAGGGAAGGCCCCCCTGGGGCAGGGCCCGCCCTGTGCTCACCGTGCTTCAGCTTGGACAGCATGGACTTTTCTGCATCCACTGAGGCACTTTTTCCAACAAGGAGTCTTTTTGCCAAGTCCTTCTTATAAAATGCTTCAAACACATCTTTACCTGGTAGAACCAGAGGGGAGCAAGGCAGGCGTTAAATGCTGGTGAGCTGCACACACGCTGAGCAAGCCTGGGCAGACTGCTGGGGTCAGGCCTGACACGGGGCGCTCACCGTGGATGAATCTGAACAGGATCATGATTTTGTCCAGGATCCGTTCCAGCTCCTCGTCAGTCGCTTCCTTGTTGCCTGCTCGTAACTTGGAGTCCACATGCTTGGCTGCGAGAGTGAGAGCTTTGATTAGAAAGCAGCCAGCATGCAGTCAGGGGCACAGCATTCTCCCAGCACACAAGAGGACTTGGGCTCGGTCTGAGCACCGCCAAAAGAAAAACAGAATCTGGAGAGAAAGGGTCTTTTATTTCTTCTGGCAACAGCCAGGCCTTTCTTGAATACTCCTACAGGACAGAGGGCAAAGGTCTGGCACGCTCAGGCTGAGGGGGAACAAATCCTCCCCAGTTTAACTTCGGAGCATTTAAGGAAGCAGGTGTCTTATCTTTCCCAATTCCATGTTGAAGAGTAAACCCATGCCAGCAGCTATATACAGTACTTGGGTTCTGCCATGTGACACTGCCATGGAACCGGAATGCCCCCGTCCAAGCTCTGGAGTCAGAAACTTAAACAGAAAGGTTGTTTTCTTAGGGCCCCCTGGGGCTATAGCCAAAGCAACAGTGAAGGGACAAGACCATTTTACTTGGGGCTTCCTGCTCCGAGCAGGGCTTGAGCCCACGTGGTGGAGGGTGCATGTGCATGTCTGGTGCCCCAGGAGCTTCCCTGTGACACAGCCCAAGACTGTCCAAAGCCCCAGTTCCCAAGAGCTCAACATTCTCTGCCGTGGAGAAACCACAATCAGTATTATGGCACAAAGGTCTAATCAAACTACCTCTGGATTTATTTCTCCTTTTATTGCTTTTTCCTTTCTCACTTTATTGTTGAATATTCTGAATTCACAGAAAATGGCTAACTGCCTAATGAACTCCAGGCACACTGTCCCCCAGTCATAACCCACATACACCAAATCTGCATCCTTGATATTGTAGTTCTTTTTGCCTCTTTCCTCTAAGTTAAAAAACACTTCTACTGGCCAGTAAGAGTTTATGCCTCCTAAAATGTTCCTTTTATCTTACTGTGAACAATAGTAATTGAACAAAGTGCTAGTTCACAACCTGCTCCATCTGGGTATGTAAGTCCATCCTATGTCAACATGGTAACTAAGGAGTGTCTCACACGCCAGACCACCCAGAGACGGAGGTCAGGCTCCTTTGCAGAGGCATTCATACTCAGTCAGTTTCTGAGATTTACTGCCTGTCGCAGTCAGGACCTTCACAGAAGACAGCTCTGGAGTGCTCAGTCCAGGAACACAAACTAGAATAACCCTCCTCACCCTGTTCTCCTGTGAGGTCAGCTCTGTGTCTTTACCAAATCCATGCTACACCTCCCCCTGCACAGGTGCGCAGGTGTGTATGTCCGGATGACCTTGGTAAAGACCCTTCCCTCACCCATCCCGTAAGGAATCTAGGCATATCTGGGCAAAATGCCTCACTCTCCCCAACTAGTCAGTGCCCATGACACCGTTGCGCTACCGATCAGCTCCGCAGGCTTGTTGGGCCTCTTGTTGATGAAGGCCTCAAAGGACTCCTTCATCAGGTGGACAAAGCGCTCGTTCCTCTGGAAGCACACCTCCACCACGTGGTCCACCCTGTCCTTGAACTCTAGCAGGTCCTGGACCATGTCTTTATCTTTCTCAGGATTGATGACAATCGTCGTCCCAAAAGTCTACAAAAGCAAGTTAGTGCCAAGTCAGCGATAGGTTTAGGAACAGTGCTCCTCTCGCGGCCTCGCATTCTGGTGGCAGCCCTTGCTGCTCGGTGCCCCAGCACCCTCTGCACTGGCCACGGAAAGGTCTGTGTCCCTTCAAGGCAGGTGGTGCCCGATGCTCAGAGTCCTGGGCCAGCCCCAGGCATTGCTTCTGCAAGGCAGGACATGGACACAGAGGGAGGGCCCAGAAGTTGTCCACGGCCTTGCACTGGCATCCGAGGGACGCAGAGAATGCCTAGATGCAAGGTGATAAGCCCAAGTGTGGGTTATAGACGGCCAGCCGCAGCACAGTGGGAAGCTCTCCCTAGAGAGGCACCGCTGGCAAGCGATGCAGACCACCATTTGAGAGGTCTGAGGGACCACAAGTGCGGAAGGAAGCTAGGGTTGTGTTGACAAGGAACAAAAGTGGCTCCTTCGAGGTCCTCCCTGGGCGGTCTGTCACTGTTGGTGTTATCTCAGAAAAGCTTACCTTAGGGAAACATTGACACGGGAAAGCGCAGACCCATCTACCGGTCCATGGGAACATGTGGCCTCACAGCAGTGCCGCTGATACGTGGAGCAGTTTCCAGCCTCAGACCCGCCTGCCTCCCGCCAAAAATGTCCCCAGGCAGCATGGCAGGGACACCAAGACCTCAGTACCTTGATGTACTCGCTCCAGTGCAGCAGCAGTGCCTGCTGCCCGCCCCGCACCCGGCTGAAGAGCTGATACATCTGTGTGAGGTCAGGCACCCGGTTCTCGTCCAGCAGGTGGTCCAGCCCTGGGATGGTGCAGAGTGAGGTCACGGCAGGAAGTCGGCACTGCTACTGACTAGCTGCCATGCGGTGGCACCCTCAGAGCAGCACTTCGAGGAGGCCCTGAGCTGGGCCTTCCTAGCCAGCACGTTGGTCTCCTTAAATATCTAGCCAGGGCTTCGCAGGTCACTCCCATTTCTCTGAGTGTGCTGGAGTACTAGTCAACTCCTCACATTACGAAAGTCCTCTTATCTCACAAAAAAGATAGTTTAGTCCACCAGAAAATGTGTTTACTAATACAGTAACTCTCTAGTTTGTAGCTGATTAATTTTACTCAAACACAGTAAACTCTGGAAGAGAAATTACTCATTATTCATTAAATATTTTGAAGTGTGTAACATAAATTTTTGATTGTTTCAGGTTTTTAAATTTTATAAGGACTTCCTAAAACCTTACCACAAGCAGAAAAGCTTGGTTGGTGGCTTCCTAAACAGCATTTTCTGGTAACTGACATGGTAGCTAAGCAGAGCAGAGCTGTGGACGCAGAGGGTGTGGCACCTAGTTCTCCCTGGCAGGTGGGGAATGAGCAGAGACCTGGGACCCTGAGCTCGAGCTGGTCCCTGTCATTTCTCCAGCCTATGTTAGGTCTCCCAGTGTAAACAAACATTTCTTTTTCTTTGTCTTTTCTGTGCAGTACTGGGGACTGAACCGGGGTTAACTCCATCACTGAGCTCCATCCCCAGCCCTTTTTATTTTTCTATTTTGAGAAATGGTCTGGCTAAGTTGCCTAGGCTGTGTTCAAACTTGTGAGTCTCCTGCCTCAGCCTCCTGAACAGCTCTCAGCCTCCTGAGCACGTGGCACCACACCTGGCAATAAACTTCTTAGTTTAAAACTTACCTTCCTTAAATACTAAAGTAATGTCTTTTTAAAGGATTTAAGAACATATACTCAACTTTTATACTTTTTAAGATACATCTAATAAAATTTAGAGTAAGCTTTTACAAATAAAACTATTTTCTTGTATTAATTCCACTCATCAAAATATGCACTGAAACAATTTATGCAAATTTCTACTATTTACTTAAAGTCCTTTATTCTCCTTATGGAGTGACTATTTACTATTTAAAAAAAAAACACCTGATATGAATTCTGAATGCATTTGTTTTCAGGCAGACAATAAAGTGAGCTCTCATTTATGCAAGAATACACCAGCTGTGTGGGTTTTTGTGTGCTGCACACAGAAAACACAAGCAGGCTCAAGTCCTGGCTCTTAGCTCACGACTCATGCACCTATGCAAGCCATTTTGAGCCCTGTTTGGCTGTATGCTGGGCACCATGAGCTCCTAGGGCTGTGCGAAGGAAGCTCCATGACAACCGCCCTCTCCGTCAGCTTGGCCGGCCTTGCTGGGAGGCCCCCAGCCACTGGGATCCCGCTGCCAAGAGCACGAATGCCCGACAGGGCAGGGCACAGCAGAACGCTGCGGGTACGACATGGGCCACTCCTGTCGGACAGGTGACAGTTGGGGGAGGCTACAGCCTCCATACATCTAAAGTGACTTGGATGGGGACCCTGAGCACTAGGGTTACAGAAGGTGACATCAGGAATGCAAGTGTCAGCAGCTGGCCACCGTGGAGCTGAGTGGAGCCCACTCAAGTGCAGGCAGAGCCAATGCCTCGCACTGACTCCTGAGCAGCTCTGCAAGAAGCCGCCCGTGCTATTGTGCTGCTCTCAACACAGACCCAGGTGTGGAGGCCAAGGGGAGCCTGTGACTCGGCGTCTTACTCTTCAGGAGCTGGGAAAGGACAGGCCCCGTGAGGGACCTCATCGCCCACAGCGAGGAGGCTGTGGAAACCTGGTGTCCACTCCTGCTGAGCCTGAGCTCTTCACCCAGGTCAGGTGGGTGGGAAGATGGAACAGTTGGAGACCAGGGCCGAGTTGGGATCCACACACCCCAGCTGTCCACGGTACAGGACTGTGCAGCCAGGGCGGCAGGCTGGAGTTTAGGCAGGAGGTATTCTCTTCCCCACCTCTCTTAATTCCTCATTTCCCTTCAGTGGCTGCAATGCCCGCTAGGGAAGATTCTTAGTGATTTTCTTAGGACAGTGATCACTGTCACCTTACTCTGAGTTGGGAATTGGCATTCAGTTTAATTCACAGCTCAGGAAAACCCACCTTTCTGCAGAATTGCTGTCAAATGTTCTCCTAACAACTGTTTCTCCACACAAGCAATCAGTGGTTTCCTACAAAGGCAAGAGGGGATAAGCATCAGCAACAGTGGCAGGGAGAGGTTGCAACTGCTGAAAGAGGGCAGGGTGAGGTTAGGTGGGCGGCTGCCACCAGGCAGGGCAGAGGGCAGACCACACTCTCCCTCCCACTGCCGATGTTGAGACCTCTCTATCACACTTGCTGAGTCAGGCCGCGAGCTCTGCAGGTGGATGAGACCCCCGGACATGGGCACCCGGGGGGAGGTAGCATCCAGAGGACAAACAAGGGTGCCCACCTCAGGCTACACGCAAGCCTGGCCCACCCCTGCAAGCACTTCGTCAGCAAAGCCTACAGTTCTAAAGAGCCTGCCAGGAATCCAGTCTGGTTCAGCCTGTGGGCACAACCACCATCCTGAGACGTGGCACCTGGGCCTGGGGTCACATGCTGGGACCTTTCTCTCTGCTAAACTACCTTCTCCCTCATCACTTCTGCCAGCCTCTGCCCCATTGCAATCAGCGGCCTCTCTGTCCTCACTGTTCCAGTGTCCTTAGAACTGCCAGGGACCTTCTGCCGCGATCCTGGCCGCCTGTGTGATCTCCCTGTACACCTGGACATTGGCCTTCGAGCATTTCACAGAGCAGGGCATCTGAATGTCTTCAAGTCCAGCCAGTGCAATGGCCACGCCACAGGGTACACAGGAATTACTTCCCAGTTTCTTCCTTTATTACCCACGGCTCAATTTATCTCTGTTTCTCAGTTCTCTTCAGAGATCAGAGCATCTACTTTATCCCAAAGATCACTCATGTGAGGCTCCTTCCCAAGCCTTCACCTCACAGTCTATGAGGAGCTTTTCAGCGTCTCAAGGCACGTCACCTGCAGCTCCCGAACACCCTGCCTGCGAGTCCTTGTTACAGTCTGGGTTTAGGTGTCCCCGCAAAGCCTCATGCAGTCATAGTGCTTCGGCGGCTGAATCTAGAGTGTGAGACTGGCTTCTACTGCGATTCTGGGATCCAGGGTGGGCGACTGCTGGGTCAGCCCACCGAGTGGGTGGGCTCCGCCACAATCACAGTGGGATGGGTACCATATAAGTGACAGAAAGGGGCTTGTCTATCTCCCTACCCTCACTGTTGCTTTCGCTGTCTTCTGCCTCCATGAACTGTTGCCCCTCTACCATATGCCACCCTGCCTTGGAGTCAGCCGACTGTGGACTGAAACCTCGACAAACTGTGAGCTAAAGAACCCTTACCTCCTTCAACTTTGGGTGTTGGGTGTTTTATTTCAGCAGTGAGAGAAAACTAACTAAGACAGCCCTCTTGTCTCCCCATGCCCACCGACATCCCCAGCCTGTCCTTGCCTGGCTCTCTCCCGGGCTCTGCTTCCTTTTCCCATTGTGTTTTGTCAGCTCGTTCCTGTCTCACCAGCCTGCCCCTGAGCAAGGGGCAAGCTCTTCAGGTGTGACCACCCCATCTGTGTGCTGTGCCTCTACCACATCATAGGAGGAGGTACCACATACCTAGCCCAGACATAGTCTATCTTTCCCTAATTCCTCCCCACCGGCGTCTAGGAAATAAAAGATGTAAAGAAAAAACTCGCAGCAGCATAGTAACAATTATAGTCTAACCAAAGTTCACAACTGGAGCAGCTGAAGTCAACATCACTCCACTAGTATGAACAACGGGGTCCCTGTCTCCACAGTGGGAAGAGAATCCACACACGCTGAATGACGACAGACACCACACGCAAAGTGCACACGAGCAGAAGTACTTCAGGTACTGTTGGTTTCAATATCCAGCCACACGAACATCTGCTGGTGACGCTGCCAACTGCGACACTCACTGTGTGCTGTGGTCCAGGTATGTGATGACGCGATCCCCCTCTTCCTCCAGACGCTTGCTCACATGGTTAAGATACTCTGGAACCTTACAAAGAAATCCCAACACAAAGACTCTTTGGGACCCAAGAAATGAAGTTCTGTTTCCCTCATAAAATAAAACAAAGAAAACTCCATGCATGTAAGCCAAATAGGAATACACTTCCACAGGGGACGGATTAGTGGCCCAGAGGTTAACACCCGCCTCTAGCTGAGGACCCAGCTACCGTTGCCGTCCTTCAGGAGGCCGTAAGCCCCTCCCTTCGAGGTCAGGCTAGGAGCAGGCTAGTGCCTGGGCTGGAGAGGTATCGCTTACTGGAGCCCTGTACCTGGCTGGCCAGCAAAGCTACCATCAGGGGACCAGAGCTGCTTCGTGCATTGAGCTGTGTGATGCAGGGAAGTGGAACTTTCCTCAGGGCCAAGTGGGCAGGGCCTACCCTGTGGGTAGGCAGGCGATGCCGGCTGCCACCCCATCTCCCTTGAGGGTTGTGCTCCAGGCCTGGGAAGCTAGGTATTGGCTGGGGCCATGTTATGATTACATACACTTTTCCACATGGAATTTTTTCCAATCGTTTTTGCACAGATGAAAAATTTAGATGGATTTTATCTTTCATATTTAGAATGTATCTGTCTTCCTGCTTAAACTTGAAGTTCTTTACTATTTCAGAAACTACTTTTCTGGGGCTTTTTGCAGGAGGGCAAAAGAGTTTCTAAATTAAAGGGGAGAAATGAAATTCTCACTACAATGAGAGAAGTAAGGTCATCACTGGGGATGCCGGTGAGACTGCAGCTGTCCCTGACTGTCATCCCAGGCCTGGTGTGAGAAGACAACCCCAAGAAGCTGTGAGGAGGCATCCAGAGACGCAGACAGAGCAACAGGAAGCACCCGCCTCACCTCACGCTCCTGCATCAGTCTCTGGCCTTCTGCAGCATACAAACAGTTAGTCTCTTCCAAAAATTTCACTTCAAACGAGTCTTTATATACCTAGGAAATAAGCAGTTATTGACCGGACTCAGTGGCAGTACCTCAAGGGCCCCACTGGCTGGGGCCAGGCTGCTTATTCGGCCCTAGCCAGCACACTTCTCTGGTGCAGCCCTGGACCCTTCACCTGTGGGGCATTGGCTCTGTCCCTTAGAGGTGTCCGCAGCACTAAGGGGTTAGCTCCTTGTTTTTGTTCTATTTTCTGAGATGGGGGGCGGTCTTACTATGTAGCACAGGCTGGCCTGCAATTTTGTAATACTGGGATTACAAAAGGGTACCACTCTGAACAGCTCGGCCTCTGGTTTTTTTTAAAGTTCAGCCAGTATTTCTTTCTAGTTTGTCACCTGATTTTATCCTTGTTTACGATATACTTAACTTGAAAAAAATCAGCATTTTAAGCAGTCCTTTCTTCTGTGGCAACTGGTGCAGTGTTAGTGTAGGGTCACTCCCTCTTCAGGGGTTGACATGCTGTCCCGACAGCCCTTACTCAGGCCAGGGAAGAGGCAGCCCACCTGGAGATCTGAGAGCATGCTCAGCAGGCTGCGCAGCAGGCTCCTGTCCACAGCCTCCCCACTCCGCTCCCGCTCGATCAGCAGCAGGATCCCGTCGATGGTCTTACTCTGAACTGTCTTGTCGCTGATGATGTGGTTTCTGAACAGCTCCAGCCCCATGTCCCTGTGCAACAATGGACACAGGCCTGGACTTAGGTTTCCCTCTTCCAGCACCACCCTTCGCTGACCTCCATACCACACAACCTGCAGCCCTCTTTAAAAGTACTCATGTTAAAAAACAAGAGAAGGACAAAATGGAAACAAAACATTTGCAAACAGGGAGGGGAAGAGAAGTTGAAGGGAGGGGAGGGGAAGGGGGAAGAAAAGAACCAAGATATATCACATACAGGTACAACTTCCCTCTGACGACTGTGATCGTTATGCATACCTAAAATGTACCAGTAAACTTAATTTTTAAAAAAGTGCTCATGTCGCGCAGGCTGGGTCCTTGGGGCACCTCCCTACAAAGGCTGTCATGTTCCTTGAGTCAGTGCACTCTTGTGGCCCAGCCCACGACCACCCGCTCTTCCTAGGCACCATGGGCACTGCCCCATATGCTTCCTGGGCACTTCACCTCCACCCTCTCCTTGGAGCCAGATCTTAACTGCACCTGACTGCAAGGGAGGCACCCTGCCAGGGAAGTGTGACACTGCTATGACTGCTCCTTCTCCCTACCCAGTTGATAAAGCCTAGTACCCAGGGTGAGGCCCTTAGATCTCATTCTGCACCACGCCCAGTGTGACATAATGTCAGCACACAGCCTGCCCAACAGCTCCGGTGGCATGGGTGTCCTGCCAGGCAGGGCAGCAAGCAGGTGCACTTACCAGATTGAAGGGAGTGTGGAGTTCTGCAGGACGTATGTGCGGTCGAGGAATAGGAAGATGCTCCTGACCATGATCTGCAGGCCGGAAAGAATGTCACTCAGTCATTTGATGAACACACCACTTAACATCAGGCTTCAGCTCATGCAGTGCTAGCCATCTCCAATCTAACACCTACCACGACCCTCACTCTTCTGAACTTCCCTTCCTCCTGTCTCCTCAGTATTTGTCATCTCTGTAACCTAACAGCCCTGATGGCAGGGCTAGGTCACTTAAAGATCTCTTTGAAAATCCACTGTCTCCTGATTGTCACACCCAGCTCTCAGGACTGTGCTCCCCCAGGTTCTTAGCAGCCCCATGGCCTCAGGCACGCTGTCACCACCCTGGAGCCCGTTTCTCTTTTCTTCCTCTCCTCCTTGTGGTGCTGGGGATGTGAATTTCCCACATGGTAGGCAAGTGCTCCACCAGAGCTATGCCCCTGCCCCTACTAAGCTTCTTAAATTAGCTTGGCTTCGATGGGCTGCGCTGGGATGGAAGGGAGGCATCTGCAATCACTCCCACTGCCATCCGCCTGGCCGGATCAGAGGCTGAGTCAGACCACGGCAGACACGATCAAGTGAGATGTGCAGTGGCCCAGGCTGAATTCACACAGAATCAGAGCTACAGAAGAGGTGGCTGCTCACCATCTGTCTGCAGTGGTCTTGCCAGCATGTGTTGATCTTCTTCAAGAACAAGACGCTGTCGAGGGAGTCTGTGCAGATCTGCTAAGGAAAACCTCAAAACACAGGCCTTACAATCACTGCCACTTCCACCCCAGCCCTGTTCTACTCTCTACCCCACCCCAGACAGCATCACCCAAGCCGAGTGGTGGCAGGAAGCACACCAGGAGCTGGACACCTGCCCACCTGTCCACCACATGAGGACCTGTGAGAAGGCGCTGTCACTGACCAGGATACAGTGCCAGCCCAACACTGGGCCTTACCCTTGGGTCTCAGCCTGAGAGTCCACCTACCTACTGCATGGCATTTTGCTACAGTGGCCCAAATGGACTAAGGCCAGCAGCTTCCAAGCCCCTACATGGCTTTTAACATCTCTACATCCCAGCCACTGTGCACATACCCTACCCCACACAGGGCTGTAGCTGCCTCATCTCTCACTGACCCCTCCCTGACTGTCCCATGTCCAGCACCACTTACTGCAGTGCCAGCTGGAACAGACGCCAAGACACAGTGCTGCACAGAACCCTGTGGCAGATGGCTGGCCAGGAGGGTGGCCAATTACCAGGCACTCAGAAGCCAGTACCAAGAGTGTGTGACAGAGGCCTGGGGCTTCCCACAGGAAGGATGTCCTAAGAGAACCTTAAGTACTCTTCAGGATGGAGAAACCAGAATACAGGTTCCCAGAGCAATATGTCTTCACAGCACTCCCGCCTGCTCTGCCCACCTCAGGAGGGGAGGAACAGAAAGGCCCGTATGGGTGGGTGGCTGACATCCTGGGCTGTAGGCCTGTGGCATCCACGTCAGTGAGCTCCCCAGCAGCCCTCGATCACAGGGCCAGGTGAGGCTCGCTCAGACTGGTGCATCCTCTGCAGCAGAGGAGGCAGGAGGAAGTCCAGGGTCAGAGGGGCCTGTGGCACAGCTGTCCTTGTCAGACCAGGGCAGCCCCCAGCAAGCACACCAGGAATTCAGAACTACGTACAGTGAGGGTCCAGCATGCAGTTTTTCTCTCCGTCAACTACCTACAGCGGCCACCACATCAGGAACTGGGAGCAGTCTGGACGCACAGAGGAGATCCAGCAGGTGCCCGTAGCAACAACAGTCTGCACGGGCTCTGTCGACAGTCCTGGGCCTCAAAGAGATCCACCAAGTGCACAAGGCTGAGCTCTTCGTGAGGCCTGTAAGCCTCACTGAGGTCAACTAAACAGCAGTGCGATACCGTGAGCAGGCTCAGATGTGGCAGATGCTCATGGCAGTGCCGAGCAGGACCCCACCTCCCTGAGATGCAGAGTGGGTGAGTGTTGGTCAGTGGGGACCATTTTCATGGCCAGAGGGCTCTGTAAAATCATTACAGCCCCTCACCATTGTCTCCTGCTGCCGTCACAGAAAAGCAGACAACAGGAAGCAAGCAGCACAGCGCGGCACTTGCCAACTTCCTCCGGGCCAGGCGTGCAGTGGGTGGGGTGTGTCAGCTGAGGTGGGCGTCTAGCCATCCCGGCCCATCCCAAGGTGGGTGCCTGTGGCCACCTCCTTTCTCACTCGGCCATGGCTGCTTCCAGCAGAGGATTCACACAGCCCTGGAGCACAGACAAGCTCTTCGGGCAATGCAGAAACGCTCATGAGTGGCACGGACAGACTACCTGCCACAAGGCAGGTGTAAAAAGGAAGCAAGGGCACCCACTGACAGAAGGCTAGGAGAGTGACTGTGAGCAGTTCATACCCCTGGCCAGTTGGTCACCCCACTGTGGTGACCCACAGCGGACACTGTTGTTCAGGCTTTGCCCACAAGGGCCACCAACCAGCACGTGTCCTGTCACACTCGGCACCCTTATCTCACTGGGTCCCCTTGTTTTCACTTTACCATGACCTTTACCCATGTTTTGTCTGCTTGATTCGTTCTCCTCTTTGGTCTCCATGTGCCCCGCTGAGCCACACGCTGCAGGGGCCCTCAGTTTCCTCACCCACAGACATAACTGGCATGGCCCCCACACCATGAGGCACGCCATGTTACAGGTGTGCCTCCTGCAGAGGCAGGAGGCTGACCACAGGCGCAGATCTGAGTGCTGCCGGAGTACTAGGGACCGCAACACAGTCAGAGGTTGCTGCAGCACACCAGGTGCTCCAGAAGCAGAGGCACGCTGGTGACTTCTGCATCCTCGCAGGGGTCTGGTACATGACTCTCTGGGAGGCCTCGTCACCACGCCCAACACTGCCTGGGGCAACCTGAGTGGCCTCACAGGGAGGTTGATCAGAGGAAAGGAGATGTTGGGGTTGTGTTTGTTAGGCTCTTGGGACAGCCAGGCTGCCATCCTTAAAGGACTCCTGGGCGTTTCTAACCAAACCAGCCACCTGTGGTCATGATACTTGGTCAGGCAGCAGCTGTGCCTTGCTGAGCGCATGTGTGTCTGCACATGCACACGTTTCTGCGTGTTCCTGTGCACATCCACACGTGCCTGTGTATTTGTCCATGTGTAACAATCTTTTGTATTCTGGGGAAGGGGCATTACTAGCCTCTCTCTCTACTGAGAACCTAGCTTGAAAGGCATGCGATTCACCAAACACAGGAAAGAAGGGGTGGAGCTGGCGGCCCAGTGACTCAGTCCTACCTGAGCAGTTCTCTGCCTAGGTGTCTGCTTTGGTCCACGGCCATGGCCTGACCTCACCCCACCACTGGGAGGCAGTGGGTGAAAACTCGGGTGGCATTCCATGTGTCTCAGAAAGTGAGCTGCATGAAATGCCAGAGCAGCCTTAAGGCAAGGAAATGTGAACATGTCTGCCTCACAGAGGCCTTGCACCCACCCCTTGTCATGAAAGCCCCTCTAGGTTGTTGCTCTCCAGCAAAGATGAGCTCTGGAGGAACAGGACTGTGCCACTCTGCCCCACCCCTGTGGAGACTGCTGTACACACTTGATCAACACTCACCAGTGAGTATGTGCCTGCAACCCGCAGCCTCCTCCTCATTCACCCCCTCCCAGCCTGGTCTCACCATCCCACCATTCTCCACCCCTGGCCAGCTACATCCAGGGCTCCTTGGGCATCCTGTACCCAGCAACGGCAGTGCCACTGGGCACTGCTGCCCACAGGCTCCTCTTCTTGCAGACATCGGGCTGCTCAGACCCCTGTCATCTTTCATTGGTTTCTCTTTCCAGCCATCAGACCCTGAAAATTCTCTTGGACCTTATTGTGGTCTCTCTGCAGTGGCAGAACTGCTTCATTCAACTCACAGCCGTGCTGGAACATCCATGGCAGGGCACTGACAGGCACCGTCTTCCTGGCAGTGAGCGGCCTGCCATCCTGCAGCCTAAAAGCCTCTGCCAAATCTTCACCATCAGATGGAACCCCGACTTTCCAGGTGGGCAGTATGGCCTTGCTTTCTCTGCCTTCTCCTCTCAGGGATCTGTCCTGAACCTCCTGTCCTGTGGCTGCTCCTACCCCTTTGTCACGCCTCTACACAGGCTGCTGTCTGACTCCTGCTGTCGCACCATCTCCTCCCCTCAGCTCCGCTCATGTCTGGGAGCCCACGTGGACCATGCCTGTCTTGTGCATCCACCATCCTGCTTGAAGCCAGACTCCCGCAGTGCCCATCTCCTTCCTAGACCTTGAATGAGGTGGCAAACCAGAGGGACCTCAGCATATGCCCATGGTGAACAGGATGTGTGTCTTTCCCCTGCAGGGCCCTCTTCACAGACCAGCTCTTGCCACTCAAGAGTGAAGACTCTGGGTGGTCCATGCAGTCAAGTCCAGCCTATACCCTGAGTGAGGGTGGGCCCACAGACCCTGGCACACGTTCTGCCTTCTGCTGGCCCTGCCTTGGGCTCTCTCTGTCCAGTTCTCCAGCAACATCAACTAGGTCCTTCCTTGTGCTTGTACTGAACCAAGTGTGGCTACAAGGAACACTTAATGCACTCATGCTTCTGTTGCCTTCTAGGAAACTGGCGTGGCTTTGTCGCAAGACCAAGATGTGAACTCTGGCTGCACCATGGGGCTGTGACTCCCTGGCAGTCAGACTTGGCAGCTGCTTTTCTGTTTCAGAGCTGGTGTACAGGTGGAAGCGGGTGTCTGCTGAGTGATGGGTGCACGAGCACATCAGAGAACCCACGAGGTGGGGTTCGCCAGCAAAGGCGAGTGGGAGCATGTGATCAGAGGTGGTTTCCAAGCAAACCAGGATTTGGGCAAAGTAACAGGAGCTGACTAGTGACAACCACACCATGGAGCACTGCCGGCTCCCTGGGGGCGCCTAAGTGGGTGCAGGCTCTGTGCACCTCCCAGGTTCTGAGACACGATGTGCAATGGTAGACAGCACCGCCACCATGCCCAACATCAACACCCTGGCCCATCAGCTCCTCAAAATCTAGCCCCCTGACCTCTTGGTGGCCCAGAGGCCTGGAACAGTCACACTGCGCAATGAGGGCTGAGAGGAGGACAATCTCCCCGAGCTATGGAACCTGCGAAGAGGCAGGCCCCACCATTGCGCTCTGCTGTGATAACAAAGAGGCCCAGAAGAGCACAGTCACTAATACTGACCCACAGGGACGTGGGTGGCTCGGTAACTGAGGACAGCAGGGGCAGGCTGAGGCCAGATTAAAGGGTTTCAGCAGGGTGTAAGCAGCTCAGGGATTTCCTCACAGGGCACAAGTCACAGATGGTGTGGAAGCAAATCCTAGGTTGCCCTCTCCCCTGCTCAGGTATGTGCCCTGAGTAACAACAGTATTGTGGCCCGATGTGCTCAGAGGCAGGGCTTTGGGTGTGTGTTACTGATCAGTCCACTGATGGATTTACAGCTAGGTGTGATGTTGGGAGGTGAAGCCTGGTGGAAAATGAAGCATCACTGTGGGCATGGCCTGGAACGAAGGACAGCATATATCCCTGCTCCTCCCTGAATTGCAATGCTTTCTGCCCGCTAGACCCCTCTGCCATGCTACCCGCCTTGCAGCCAGCCGACCATGGACTGAAACCTCTACAAACTGTGAGCCAAATACACCTTTCCTCCTTTACCTGGTGCACGTCAGGTGCTCTGTCCCAGCAACAAAAAAGTAACCAAGACAGTGACTTGTGGGGGCGATGCCAACGGCTGGGTTTCCTCACAATCCCAGCCGACCTGAGGCAGGCTCTCCTGCTGGCCCAACAGCAGCTCGAATCCCCTGAGCAGACCCCAGGGACTGCAGGTGCTCCCCACCTGCAGAAGCCAGGGAAGGACCCACCCCAGGAGACTGTGGTTGTCTTGCCTCTTGCACACATGCTGAGCCTGGCCAATTTGGGAAGCTGCTACACAGCCCAGAAAACTAATACAGATGATTTTACTAGAATAAAGGACAGAATTAAAATTCAAGACATTTTAAAACTTTTTCTAAGTATCTTAACCATGTGCAATTAATACTTTACCTTTCATTCATATCAGCAAACTAAGTTACATTCTAAAAACGTCATTAAATTGAATAATGAAACAACTGAACATTTTTGTTCTATAAATAAAAGAATTTAAAGGCTACTGTTTTACTATTAAGGATACTCATCCATTCTTTATCTTATAAATGTTCAGTTCTAAAAGATTTAGGAATGAAGAGAAATCTCACAAGCCAAGAAAAGGATATTCTCTGAACGGGAGGATCTGGGCCTGGACGTGGTCCTCACAGACCTGGCGCAGCTGCCTGTAGAGTGTCGGGGAGACTTTGTGAGAGCACAGGTTTTCCACAGCCTGGAGCCAAAGGAAGCAATTATTCAGCAGAGTCGGCACTCAGCTTAAACCCTACAGCAGCATCTAAAAGAAGAGACTCTGCTCCTGCCTGCACTCCGGTCCACTCAGGACGCTCACTTCAAGGGCTGGGGTCCATGCACAGCCCAGCAGCTAACACAGAGCACAGACTGAGGGGCCAGCCTCACTGCATCCTGGGCTCTCACGGAGTACCTCGCACCTCTCAACTCTCTTCACAGGACAGCAGTTTCCAAACAGGCTCAGATATGTCAAGCCAGGCCTGGTCCCCAGCTGTGAGCTGGATGCCTGACTGCTGGCAACCACCCCTTCCCTCTGATGGGCAGGGAAGGGAAGAAATCAGAGCTCCCTGGGTCCTCTATGGCTATAGGCTAAATGTATAATTCACTTACTATTTCTGTTCACATCAAAGATCTAATGTTCATGCATGCTTACCAGTTCTAAGAACATTTCCTTTCAAGTCTCACGTACAAAGCCAGAATCTCCTTCAATGCAATGTGGAATATTATAAACAGAAATGTGGTTTTTCTAATGACTAGTTTTGAATGATTTAAAAAGCAGGTAGGCTTGGGTTGCACAGGAAATAGACTAAGAATCAGCAAATCAACAAACCTACAAAATGGGAAAATAATTTTGTGAGAGATTCCTCAGACAGAGGACTATTATCTAAAACATATAAAGAATTCAAAAAAATCAGACCCCCCCCATTAAAATGGGCAAAGGACATGAATAGACACTTCTCAAATGGCCAATAAATACATGAAAAAATGTTTAACATCACTGGCCATTAGAAGAATGTAAATTAAAACACTAAGATTCCATCTTATCCCAGAAAGAATGGCTGTCATCAAGAAATCAAATAACAAATGCTGGTGGGCATGTGGGGTGAAAGTTTTTGTTGGTGGGAATGTAAACCAGTACAACTACTATGGAAATTAGTATACAGAGTCCTCGAAAACCAGAAGATAGAAATTCCATTCAACCCAGCTATTACTTTTAGCTATCTTACCAAAGAGTTAAAAATACGATACTACAGTGATATTGTGTTTATAGTTGCACAGTTCATAATAGCTGAACCTTGGAAGCAGCCTATATGTCCATCAACAGACAAATGGATAAAGAAAATGTATTTAGATACAAAGGAATACTACTCTCATACAAAAGAATAAGCAAGTCATTTGTCAGAAAATGGATGCACTGAGACCATAACGTTAAATGAAATAAATCAGGCACAGGAGCTTATATATATGATTTCTCTTAGATGAGAAACCCGAAGTAAAAGGTACAGAACAGGAAGTAGGGAGACAGATCTTTCTCGAAAGGGAAGGGAATCAAGAGATGGAGGGAAAGGGGTCAAAAAAGGAATTGCAATGTGTTCAGCACATGGACCAGCTCCCCACGAGGAATGTGAACATCACGTACTGCACACATGCACTGATAAAGAACACTGTCTGAAAAAAATGTAGGGACATACAGAATGCATACGCATTAGAAAACGAATCCAAATCTAACTCCTGTATGATATTCCCCTAGGAAAAAAGGTAAGCTAACGTTTTATAGGCACTCACCATAGCAGTATCAAGAATTATTCATTCTAACGCTCAATATTAGAACTGCTGCATATCCTACTAACCTACATGTTAAGTATGGTGATGCTTATTTAATACTGTGAAATATGTGGATATCTACAAAGACTGAATAAAGCAGAGTAACAATGAACATTACTACCTGTTTCCTAGCGCTCTATTATCAGTGTAACAAAAAAAACCCTCTCTCCTGTGCACCTTGACTTAGAACAGAAATGAGGGTCCCTGTCCGCACTCCACGCTCGCACTCTCCAACACTCTAACCTGACACTTTGCATTGCCGTTGGCCTCTGCCACCTGGACCTGCCAGCCACCCCTCCTCGCCCGAGACAGAGACAAGCTCCCAGCATAGGCTCTGCCCCAGGGCTCACTGGTCAACCCTGCCCACACAACAGTAACAGAGGAAGTTTTTGCAGGATGCATGAAGGCAGGTATCTTTCTTGGCAAAAATCAAGACAAACTTCCCAGTGCACAGCCTTCACACAACAGCGACTCTCCAAGATGTTCTTCCAGAGGCAGACCCGGCCATAGGTGAGTCTAAGCCGGGGTCTGCTTTCCTCTGGAAGCCCCTTGGGCTTCCTCTGACAGCTCCTGCAAACACAGCCTTTAGTGTGCTGTTGTCCCAGAGTTGACAGGAGGACCAGAACCTGTGGACCTGAGACACAGACTACTTTGCTCAGCGGGCACCCACTGCAGACTGTACTCAGCCTGAGTCCCCATCTTCAAAGTGTCCACTGCTTCCCATGGAGGACAGCTCGGGTGGCGGCACATGTGAGATGTTCTCAGCTGTACTGTCATCTAAAAGTTAAATCTCCATCTCCTAAAACAGGTAGCCTAACCTGACAGGTTCCAGAGTTTATACCAGCGCTGGGCAGTAGATGAAACTTCTCAATCTCCCCCAAACACCACCAAACCCTCCAAACTTTGGTGACAATAAGTGCTTCTACACAAGGCCATACCACCTGGTCAACCGGAATTCCATCCCACGACACCAAGCAGGACACACTGCCTGCCTGAGACCAACATCTGCACGCTTGCCTCTGTCCACTGGTGCCTCTGCAGAGGCACAGGCACAGCCACTGGAGTGCAGGTCACAGGTCCCACATGAGCTCAGTGGACCAGTGATCCCTGGAACATGAAGGTTCCATCCGGTAGAGGCTCTACACCTCCAAGTTTCAGCATAGACCCCCTGGACACCTGAAGATATCATTCATGATACTCATAGGGACCAATTTTTGAGATGTACACATGGCATGGCTAAGCATTTCCACTATTTTAGGAGAAAATGATGGGCAACTAATACCAGATGGCCTGGTGTCCACAGGAAAAGGAATGGCAGGCCTCAGCTCTAAGATAGTATTTTACGAGATCAAAAGCCTATGATTACTCAGGTAGTTGGTGGGATTTTGCTTCTGGTCAGGATGCAGTAAAGTGTCTGGATTCACATTTCTGACAGGAAAAAAAAATCAGACAAAATATCCAAAGCAGCAGGGTTTGGGGCACTGGAGGACAGTGCTCTCTGAGGCCAGAAACAGCCTGGGCCCTCTGCTTTCCACGTGGGCGGTGTCTAAGCTGCACGCAGGGCCCAAAGAAGCCCTGGGGATAAGGGGTCAGAGGATCCTGGATTTGGGCAAGGAGCTCCCCAGTGACCATAAGCACTCACTCTGAGGGTGTGGCCACAGCATGCAGGCCCAGAGCGTGTGGTGAGCAAACCACTCAGAGCCAAAGTAAAAGCCATCCAGAAGGTCAGTAGTGAGAGTGTCCAGAGCCCACAGGGCGGAAGAACCATGGCACAGCATCAGCACGGTCGAGCCTCAGCAGTGGGGATAGCCAGTCCTGGACACGACAATGTTCTGGGCCAGCCTAACAAATCCGGAAAGCAAGACTCAAAGGTACCAAACAGGTTCCAAGTAACTTAACTATGCCTGGAACAAAGGTTAAGAACACTTCTAGGAATGTAAGAACATTAGCACACCACGTACGATCTACATCTGAAATCAAGCAAAGACCACCAGACATGAAAGGAGGAGGGAAGCAAACCCTGAATGAAGAGAAAAGTCAATTAGCCAAAACCAACACAGTACTAAGAGTTAGAGACTGGGACAATAAAACAGTGGTTATTGGTGGGCATGGTGGGACATGTCAGTAATCCCAGCACTCAGGAGGTTGAGATAGGATGATCACTGTCAGTTTGAGGCCAGCCCAGGTTACATATGAGTCAGCCTGAATTATATAGTAAGACATTGTCTTTAAAAAGAAAAGGGCAGTTACAACTGAATTCCATGTGTCCAAAGGTTGAACAGAGACACAGAAAATGTGCACATCTAGTGAGGAACACGAAGTGTCAGACAAACCTGTACCCGGAGGTGGTGACAGTAGCTGAGATGTGGAAAGTCAGAGACCCGGAACAAAGAAAGGCCAGGCAGCCCTGTGCAAGATACTTATGGTGCATTGTAAACCTCCCACAAAGGAAGCTAGGTGGCTCCATCAGAGGGCATCTTTTCAAGCATTTTAAGAAACCGATGCCATACAAACTCTGGTGCAAGTAAAGAGGAGAAAATACATTCCAAAACTCATGAAGCTAGCATTACTTTGACACCAAAACTGGACAAAGACATAAAAAGAAAATAGCACACCAATACCCCTGGTGAAGGCAGATGCAGAAAGTAACAAAATGTGAGCAACTGAATCCAGCAGTACATAAAAAAAGGGCACATTCCAGCCAGCTATGATTTAGCCAAAGAATGCAAGATTGGCTTAATGCCTGCAAAAGGAATCAATGAATATAATGAACAAACTAAGAAACAGAAATCACAAACCTCTCCAGAGATGAGGAAAAAGAACCCTCAAACTGGGACCAGAGGGAAGGCCCTTTACCTCACACTCAAGCATCACACTCCAGGTGAAAAGATGAAAGGTTTCACTAAGGTCAGCAAGGAGACTGGAGGCACTGCTTTCCCCGCTGTCTAACCGGGGACCCGTACTTATACCGCCCTGGAGGTTCTCACCAGCATGGTGAGGCAAGGAAAGGAAATAGGTATGCAGGTTAGAAAGGAGAAAGTAAACCAGCCTCTATTCACAGACAGCACGCCTGTCTATACAGAACATCTGACAGAATATATAGAACATCTACAGGTGAGGTCTGCAAGACAGCAGGACACACGCTCAATATATAAAAATAAAGGCCATTACTCTGTAATAGTGAGAACCAGAAAATGAAATTTAAAGTACCATGTATAAAATATCAAGAATATGAAATAAACTGGATATAGTAGCACAGGCCTGTAATCCAAGAATGTGGGATGCTAAGGCAGGAGGATTATAAATTCAAGCCCAGCCTGATTAATTTTGCGACTTAGAGATGCTGGGATATACCTCAGTGTGAAGGTTCTGGATTCAATCCTCAGTACTCCCTCCTCTCCACACAAATCGGAGACAAATTTCACAAAAGATATACAAGATCTGTATGCTGAAACTAAAAAACATTTCTGGGAGAAATAACAAAGACCTGAACACAGAGATATCCCTGCCATTGTTTGGTCAGCTCAAAACTGTTGCTATGTCAATTCTCTCTGCCCTGATCTTAGATTCCATGTATTAATCAAAATTCTAACAAGCTTTTTGGTCAAAACTGACAGATTCTAAAATTCACAGGGAAATACAAAGGACTGAGAATAGTCAACTTTGAAAAGGATTAAGTCAGAGGGCCAACATGACCTTGTTACACCCCTGCTAGATGAGCAGCTGTTTGACAAAGAAGCAAAGGCAGTTCAGTGAGGAAAAGGCAGACTTAAAAAAACCATGTCAAAACTGAACATTTACAGACAGAAAATTGCATTTTGTTTTCTATATCACAATAAATACAGAAATTTTGTCAACGTAGGTCAAAACCTAAATGTAAAACCTGAACCTCTAAAGTTAAGTAAATAGAAAAGAAAATCTTTGTGATCTTACATTAGGGAAAAGATTTCTTATATACTAAAAGCGCAACCCACATAGGAACAGCTGATATGCTGGACTTCAAAACTCAATGGACTTCAAAACTATCTGTTCTTCAAAGGTCATAAGGGAATCAAGGTACAAACCACAGACGAGGAGAAAGTATGTGCCAGGCTGATACATGCCTTGTACCCAGAATACACACTACTCAGACACTCAGTGATGAGAAAACAAACAACCTGATAAAAAAAAGATGAGCAAAAGATTTCAATAAATATTTCACCGCAGATGCATGGGATGGCAACTAAACACAAAAAAGATGCTTAGTACCAGCTGGAAAATGCAGAGTAAAACTACATATCTATGAGAATAGCTAAAACTACAGACTGCTAGCACCAAATGCTGACAAGGATGTAGAACAACTTGAACTCAATACACTGCTGGTGGAGATAAAAGAGGTGTGGTCACTTTGGAAAGTGGAGACTTATGATGAAGTTCAAAGTACCCTAACCATGTGACGCTGATAACATCTACATTTTCCTGAGAGGAATGTAAATGGATGTCCATGTAATGACTTATCCAGTAATGTCCATACCAGCTTTGCTCATAACCACCAAAAGTTAGATAAAAAAATGCCCACAGATGAAGAGATAAGCCAATTTTGGAACAGCCACACTGCTTACTGATAAAAAGAACAAATTTTGACCCCAGTTAGAGTCTCAAAAGCACTCTTAAAAGCCATATACAAAAGACAGCAAAAGGCATGATTCCACTTAGATGACCAGAAACGGCAAAACAGTGCCTGAAAACAAATGGGAGATAGTCAGGAGTGGGAGTGGGAAGGGAACTGACTGCCCAGGGGCCCAGGGAAGTGTTCAAAATATTCTACCTCCTGACAGTGGTGCTGGAAACAGCTATATGTGTCTGTTCAAACCTACTAGAGTGCATGCTAAGTGTAAATGACACCCTAATAAAGCTGATTAAAAAAATACAATCAACTCAAACACTTAAAAGAACAGATATATGTGTACCAAACTTTAGGACACGGGCCACAAGTGTTTTGGATTTCAGGTTTTGTCGGATTCTGTGACATTTGCACATACACAACAAGATACTCTGCAGACAGGATCCAAGTCTAAACATGAAGTTAACTTATGTTTCACATACTCCTCATACACATAGCTTGAAGGCAATTTTCTAAGTTTTTCCCACCCCTGTTCTGATGGCAACATGTCATAAGGTCAGGTCTGGAGCTCTCCAAATTATGCCATCACGTTGGCACACAAAACATTTTGCACTTTGGAGAAGTTCAGAGTTTTAGATTAGGGATGTTCAAGCTGTAGTAGTTTTCTTTGGGTGGTAGAAGTACAGGCGATTAAAATTTTCTTTTTTGTACTTTCTATAATCTTTATAATGTACTCATTTGTGTAAACAGGAAAAAATTTAAATTCAAGCCTTTTAGTAGAAATAATTGTGCTTTCGTCACCTAAAATGTAAAATTGGAATACTTAACGGAACATTACTTTATAAAATGACCGAAAAAAGTCTGCTTTGGGTGAAATACCCCAACAGCTAAGTGTAAGTCTGGCCATTTCCCCCCCTTACTTCAGAAATAGTGTGTCACTACTCAGTGTACCCGGAACAAAACCTGCAACCTAGTTTACAATTAAACGCAAAGCACAACAAAGAGGCCGAAAAACGCTCTGGGAGGGAGTGAAGCCGCGGTGTGTGTATAGTAGTACAAGTCTAAGCGCAGCTCGATGGAGTTCCAGCAGTGACTTGCTGTGCGGGTGGAGGCCGTCAGGGCTCCGGCTCGGTTCCAACCACCTCTCGCGTGACCACAGAATGACGCGACCTCCTCCTCCTGGGGACACCCGCGGGCTCACCTGGTACAGCTCCTCCAGGTTGTACCTGATGGACTTGCTGCCCTGGATGGCCCGCACCGCCTCGTGCAGCTTCTGCCACGTGTCCTGCGTGTAGTTGTCCGGCAGCCGAGGCCTGTCTGTGGGGACGGAGGGTCAGCGGCCGCGGGGACGGGACGGCCGGGCACCGGCGAACAGCGGGGAGGCCGGGGGACAGCGGGAGCCCGGGGACCCGGACGCCGGAGACTAGGGAGATCGGGTATCGAGAACCCGTGAGGCGGGGACTTGGGGGAAGGCCGGGAATGGAGGACCGGGGAGGCCGGGGACTTGGAGGCCGGGCCCACGCGCCCCCTGCACCCGCGCCCCACCTCGGAAGTTCTTGATGACCAGCTTCCTGGAGCCGCCCGCGCCCCCCGGCT